GCATGCACGAGGGAACATCTAAGGGGAACATCTAGCTGAAGGAACACCTGTGCAGCCCCTGAGAGAGCCGGCCGGCAGTGTGCCGCTCCCCTGCGGAAGTGGGGAATGTGGCCAGGGGGAACTGCCCTTCCACGGAGGTGGAAGGGACAGTAGCCAACCCGGGAGGAACCAGCAGCAAACCCGGGGAGGGCCGAGCAGACAAAAGAACAGCGCAGGGTCCTGTGTCGTTCCTCCACGAAGAGGGGGAGCGACAGAAATGAGTTAAAGAATATCTTTTGTTCCTTCTAGAAATCTATACTCCTAACTTTAAAAATGTTGGCTATCATTACTTTGCATTTGGATTCACTGTGATTTTAAGCATAGCTAAAATAGGGCCTGTCACTTTACAAATTGGATATTGGAAACAGGTAATTCTGTATTTACTTTAAACTTATCTTTTCTCCCTCAAGAGCCCATGTACTATGGGCTGTGTGGAGCAGGGAGATCCTAAGCAATTTAGCTAAAGCAAAATGCATGAATTTATGTACCACCTTTCCAAATTTCTCTTGGCAATTCAGAGGGCACACAAGATGGGACAGTTCTTCCTAGAGCTCGGAAGACACTTGCCATCCCCCACCCCTCTAACTTCTTCCTCTGCAAAATGCCAGTAGCAGCCTCCGGGCATTGGAACAGCCTGAGCTACCCTTACACATTTCTTTTTTTTTTTTTTTTAACTTTTATTTAATGAATATAAATTTCCTAAGTACAGCTTATGGATTACAATGGCTTCCCCCCCATAACGTCCCTCCCACCCGCAACCCTCCCCTTTCCCACTCCCTCTCCCCTTCCATTCACATCAAGATTCATTTTCGATTCTCTTTATATACAGAAGATCAGTTTAGCATACATTACCTTACACATTTCTAAACGCCTTGTGTAGTAGCACTTCCCTCTCCCAAACAAAAATACTTAGTACTGCTCAGGTTTTTTTGTTTGTTTGTTTGTTTTTTTTTTTTTAAAGATTTATTTATTTATTTGAAAGTCAGAGTTAAAGAGAGAGAGAGAGTTCTTCCATCCACTGGTTCACTCCCCAAATGGTTGCAACGGACAGAGCTGGGCTTATCTGAAGCCTGGAGCCAGGAGCTTCTTCCAGTTTTCCCACAAAGGTGCAGTGGCCCAAGGACTTGGGCCATCTTCTACTGCTTTCCCAGGCTGTAGTAGAGAGCTGGATCGGAAGTGGAGCAGCCAGGTCTTGAATCGGTGCCCATATGGGATGCAGTGCTTCAGGCTAGGGCGTTAACCTGCTGAGCCACAGCGCCGGCCCCCTGCTCAGGTATTTAGATAAACTTTCTAGCATGTCTGTTCCAGCCATCCCCTCACCTCCTCCCCAATGTACCATCTGTGTTTTTTAGGAAATGGGATTATTGAAGATCTGTAGATCAGTGCAGTGTTCCCAGGTTCTCTGATCTCCAAGGCACTGGTCATTACTCTAAGCTGGTTAGACTTCACAACTAATGTCAGCAGCTAATACCACCCAGGAGCTGACCTCCACACACAAAAGCCTTTGCTGACACATGCTTAAATGAGAATTTTTCTCGAATGTGACACTTCATATATGACCTTACCACACAACTGATTGGATCAATTATATCTGGAAGAAAATATTCTTATTGCTCTTATGCAAAACTTATTGTGCTATAAAAGTAAGGAGACTTGGTAAAAATAGTTGCTTCTCAATTTTTAGCTCTCAGTGAGAATCAGATCCCAAAAGCAGAGTCTACTAAACTGAGGATTTGGAACAGGTGCAGAAAAAAAAAAAAAAAAAAAAAAGAAAGGGATATCTCATGTATCTGCAAATAATTTTTTAAAAGAACATTAAAATAATATCAAAATATTTAAATAACTGCTTTAAAATTCCCTTATTAGTTTCTTAAAGTCCCTTTTAATTAATTCTTATTCCATTAGACCTAGATCAGGAAGATGGATTTGCCTAACAGAGATCTTAAAAAAGTTTATGGCAAATGAAAAAAATTTATGCATGGATTTCAAAGATTTCTGCACCAAAACTGACTTCTCTTTTAATTCCTTTTTCCAGGAATCTTTCCAAGTTCTCTTGGACGTCTGCTTCTGAGCAGAAAAGAGTTCTGGAAATCCTGGATTGGGCCACTGTTACAGCTTGAAAATCTTCTAAGCAACTTCATCTTGAAAGATGTTCCCAAGAGCCTATTCTTACTTCAGAGTCCTTGGAACAGTTTTCCAGGGGCTATGAGTGTCTTATTTTGGAGACACAAAGATTAATCTGTTGCCTAAACTAGGATTTTCAGATCATCTTAGAGAAAAGCAGAAACCTATTTGAAAAATGAATCTGAGTAGCTGTGATCCATTTACAGAAGTATCAATAACATCAGAACAAAGGAGAGTAAAATTTTTTTTTAGCTATGCCATAAGAGATTGACCAATGCTTCCCATGAAGTAACAATCTATTATTATGGACAATGAAGTTGTGGTAAATCTCTAGCCTCTTTCATTAAGTTCTGTGATCTCTGAAATTAACTTAACCTAAGAAAGGCAGAACATCACTCTGATTCAACAATTCTTCCTATGCAATTCTTACAGTATTGTTGAGCTAATTACGTGGTACATACTGAGTAATACTAATTATTTCTAGCATCTCTCTATTACTGGTACCCATTGTGGTAGACACAGAACTGGACCCTTAAGATATTCGGATATAGGATGCCAGCTTTCTTTCAGGTCAGCCGCAGAGCCCAGGTCCTGCTTTTTTTGAGGTGGCCCCGGCCACAACCAAACAAGACTATGGTTTAACTTTCTTCTAATTCAAGACTCTTCTAGGCCGGTGCCGTGGCTCAGTAGGCTAATCCTCCGCCTGCGGCGCCGGCACTCAGGGTTCTAGTCCCTGTTGGGGTGCTGGTTCTGTCGTGGTTGCTCCTCTTCCAGTCCAGCTCTCTGCTGTGGCCCGGAAAGGCAGTGGAGGATGGCCCAAGTGCTTGGGCCCTGCACCCGCACGGAAGACCAGGAGGAAGCACCTGGCTCCTGGCTTCGGATTGGCGTAGTGCGTGTCGACCATAGCGGCCATTTGGGGGGTGAACCAACGGAAGGAAGACCTTTCTACTCTCTGTCTCTCTCTTTCACTGTCTAACTCTGCCTTGTCAAAAGAAAAAAAAAAAGACTCTTTTAATAGGCGAGCCTTGCTCTGGACCTCTCTGTTGAGTTTTTGGATATTTTGTCAGATTCACCTGGTGGTCAAGGGTTGACTTTCCTACTCAATCATGTTCCCTGCCTTTTGCTTTCATAGGTGTTAATCTCCAGTAAACCACCTATATTCTTCTCTATCTCTGTCTGCTTCTGAAGAGACTCAACCAACATATTGGTAGCAGGAATGATACAGAAAAGCATCAGGTAACGTGAGATTTTGGAGATGGAGCCCTGAAGGGCAAAGATCCCACCTCAGGTGGTATAAGGAGCACAATTATGCCTGGCACAACATAGTTGACTAATTACTAACTATTTTCATAAGTAGAAAATAATTCTAGATGAGGGAGAGTTTAGTGACTTTGAGCAGTCTCTTGGCATATAGCCTTATGCTCTTGGAAAGGATCCAAAGGCACAGTATGTTTGCTCTGAGGGTGACACGACACATCTGGAGAAAGTGATAGCTCATGCTGAGCAAAACTGAAACGCTTAAGTTTTTATAGATGACCACAGTTACAGGGAATAAGCCCAGGAAAGTGGATATGTGGGAATGGGCAGAAGACCAGAAAAGCTACCAGAAAATTATTTTCCAGAGAGATTCCAGAGGACACATCACTTTCCAAGACCATCAGGAAAGTGTTGGTGAGCACAGCACTACCATCACCAACATGTCCAGTCTTGGCTCTTCACAAGTCAGGGCTGACTTTGGGAGAGGCTGTCACAGAACTGAATCCTTAGCAACAATGAGAATGCAGGGGCCCTGCAGCAAGAGAATATGAGGCAACACTTCATCCCCAAAGCTTGGGGTTCACAGTCATCCTAGTGGCTGGACTTCACAGAGCAGCAACCAAGAGGACATATGAAGATGGTGAATAGAATAGGGTGTCTCTTAAGACAGAAATATCTGTGCATCCAATGAAGTGGTTCCTTAATTACACATAATTAGAATGAAGAATGGATGAGGGGCCGGCGCTGTGGCGCAGTGGGTTAACGGTCTGGCCTGAAGCGCCGGCATCCCATATGGGTGCCAGTTCAATACCTGGCTGTTCCACTTCTGATCCAGCTCTCTGCTATGGCCTGGGAAAGCAGTAGAAGATGGTCCGAGTCCTTGGGCCCCTGCACCCACGTGGGAGACCTGGAAGAAGCTCCTGGCTCTTGGCTTTGGATCGACGCAGCTCCAGCCATTGCAGCCAATTGGGGAATGAACCATCAGATGGAAGACCTCTCTCTCGCTCTGTCTCTGCCTCTCCTCTCTCTGTGTAATTCTGATTTTCAAAAAAATAAATAAAAATATTAAAAAAAAGAATGGATGAGTTAAAGGTAGTCAACTCAACAAAAAACTCTGAATCTCTTACCTGTCCAGTTTTCAAGCCATTAATTGGGACTTAATTGGGTTTTGGAAAGAAACATCCTGCAATATCAAGTCAGGTATACACAGTCATGATTCCTCTGATCCTTCCCCAAAGAGAGTCACTTCCAATTATCTGAATTATGGCACACAAGGAAAGGGGAACTGGTAAACGCACAGCAGCAGCGAACAATGACACCTAAAGATAGGAAGCACCATTATGGCTCTCCTGCTGGAAGGAGGTGAATTGTAGTTTTGGAGTCAGGGCCAGCCATCTTTTTCACAATGGCTTCACTGGGCTCACAGGCAAAACTAGTAGCCAGTTACGCAGTCCCAAGTGTAAAATTGGGATTGACATACTTCAAAGGTGGTACATTTCCATATATTTCCTGTGACCTGTAAAGTAAAAGCTACCATAGTGGGTATATTAGTCAGCTTCTTGTTACTACAATTAACATACCTGAGAAGGGCTACTTGGAAGGAAGAAAACTGATTTTGGCTTACAGTGCTGGCAGCTCACAGTCCAAGATCAGGCAGTCCCATTGGTTTATGCATTTGATGAGGCTGGAGGCTGGTGTGGGACACACATATGGTGAACCGGGAAGCAGAGAACAGTTGAGTAGAAGGAGGCTTATATAATCAGCTCTCTCACAAGAACCACCTTCTGATGGCAAGCTCCCAATGATCTAAATACTTCCTAGTGAGCCCACCTTCCAGACACCATAATTGGATTAAGCCTCAACCCTTAATCCTTCAACCATTAACATTGACCTGTTAATGGTTAACATAAGACTTTGAGGATCAAGTCCTCAACCTACAGACCTTTGGGGAACACACAAACTATCATCCAAACTGTAACAGTGGATAAGGCTAAGCAAAAGTCTTTGAACTTTCTCTCTTGGCCAAGAGAGCAATCAAAATCAGTGTCATATGTGAATAGTAGAGTTTAATGATACCCAGAATAGAAAAAAAAATTTTTTAAATGATATCCAGAAAAATGTCAAGGTTGTATGATAATGCCAACATAGCTCCAATTAATTTTGACGGTCTGATCTAAAGAAATCAACTGAATTAGGATAATTATTATAGACTATAGCAACTTCAACCAAGTATTAGCCCAATTGCAGTTGTATATCAAGCATTGCATCATTGATAAAACAGAATATAGGTGGGTACTGCTTTTACTCCTTACAAATCAGGAAATGGACACAGAATGTGAAGTAACTTACTCGAAGTCAATGATTCATGAATAAATCCATCGTTTAAGCATAAGTAGCCCAGCTCCATTTTGTTTTTTAATGCCTTTAATCTCTGCAACTAGGAAAGAGTTAGAAGCACAAATAACCTAAAATTGTAATGAAGTATTTGCAGAAACCAGTCCTGGTTTAAAAAAGCAAGAGAACTCCCCAAACAGTTAACAATTACTTGGACTTCTGGGTTTTGTGATTGCAAAAACGAAAGTTCAAGGAAATTGTTTGATTGAAGCCCTACCTCTGAACTCTGTATAAGACAGTTTCTAACTCAGCTGCGGAATCTCTTTATCTCGACAGTGTCTTGTCACCTGGTATCTTAGCCCAAAGAGAGACATCATCGTCTTCACAGAATTAGCTTCTCTCAGTCTATTAATGGGCTAATATTCTCTTGGAACTTAGTAGGCACTTAATCATTTAGTAACATTTTGCTTAATATGCTCTTGGTCAAACCAAAATGTCTGAGAGGATTTCTGTTTTTTAATATTTTCACGGAAACGTGACCACAGAGGACTACTTTTCTGCCAACCGCAGAGAAACAGTTTTGGATTATAATTAATCTTATCAAACCCTAATTACTCTCAGGTATTCTGTGAGCAGCCTGGAGGCAGTCGCAGATGCTTATATCCAAGAACTACAATTCCCATCGTCCACTGGGGCTTTCTCGCGCTAAAACTACAATTGCGGTTAGTCATTTCCGTCTGACGAGAGGGAGGATGCTGGTCTTTGTAGTTCGGGTCTACTTGCTTTTCGTTGCCGTGTTGGTAAGGAGACAGTATGATTAGATGCACTGCTTTCAATCTGGCGTTGTGATGTGGTGTTTAAGATAACCTAATAGGCAAAGCGCGTCAAACCCAAATGAGCGTCCGGTTTTTACGTACTTCACGCTCCGCCTTCCTCCTCTTGCCGGTGCCCGGGAAGGGGAAGTGACGTGCATCCGGTGTAATGGCGCCGCGGTGGAGCTCTAGGTAATTATCGAACTCGGTCGAGTCGTCCCGGGGAGGCAACTGCAGTGGGGGGTCGCGGGTTGTTGGACCGGGAGGGATAGTGAGGAGGTCTGTGGGCGGGGGGAGTATGCCGCCGGGTCCGGCTGTGGGCGGCCCCGGGAGCGCGTTGCCGTCCTCCCGCCACGCGCGGGCCCGCGAGGTTGGGCTAAGCGAGCGGGTTGGGCCGAGTCGCCCCGTCAGGTGGAGAGTGGGCAGCCGTGAGCTGGCTCTCCGCCTGCGCGGACGGACCTCAGGCTCATGAGGTTCCTGCGCCGTACCTTGGCCGTGTCTCAGTTGCTGGGTGACTGCATCCGAGCTGGTTCTTCCTCCCGCCGTGTGCAGTGTTTTGGGCGCGGGTCACTTCGAACCTCTCGAGTTAGGGGGTTTGCCCAGGCCCTTACCTAGTGCCCGGGTCCCAGGGACTCGGGAATAGGATTAATGAACTATAGTTCATTTAAGAGATAGGTAACTGACTTTAAAGCCTCTCGGCGGAGTACTATCCCTGTGACTCTCTTTGTAAAATTTCACTAGTGGTTTCTTTTTCATGTATTTGCCCTGCCATTTACTGATACTTACAGATGTTTAGTCCTGGGAACCCCTCCTTTTCCATTGTCTTCATCTATCGTCTTTCGTCCTGCCGTTAGTTGAACCACTTCCAATAAGATTGACAACTCCTTAACTTGGGCCTCCGGTTCGTCACTCTCTGCTGAGCTCTGGAGTCCTACAATACACTTCAATGTAATGGTGATATGATAGTTAATTTTGCTTGGACTAACTGAAATAGCGTCTTTACCTGTATTTACTTAATCCTCCGTGCTTTGAGGGGAGTGAGAATGAGAAATTTGGGAAAAGGCTATTCTGGGTGTAGGAGTTGGGTGATTTAAATGTGATGAGTTTCCTTTGTGTTATGAGATATCAACAGACTAGAAATAGCAGATAAACGAACAAAGTTGGTCTTAAAAAAGATCAGTTAGCCTCCCTCTTCCCTATCTGCATTTAGATTTATTTAGGAACACAGGAGTTAACATCAGTTATCCTGTGGAAGGGCAGACTTAGGATTAGCGTTAAAAGTGCGGGTTTGGAAGCGTTGCTACAGGCAGTTGTCTATAGGAGAAGGAAATGACTTGTGTGGGTGCTGGGTGATGGACTGGCAAGCCAGAGATTGCAGTCTTGCTTCAGTGATTATTAGATTTATCACTTGGGGCAAGTGTACTAACATCTTTAGTCTCAGAGTCCTTGTCTAAAGGTAATAATAGTTGTAGTAATAACTGCCTGGCTCACTGGTTGAGTCTGAAGGCATTGCATGTCCGGCAGGGTGCTCCCGGGCTGGCCTCCGGTGTTTTAACATTGTTAATATATGATAGAGTTAATGAGTTTTCTCTGTTCCTTAGTGCTTGTTCTTTGCTTCTGAATGTTGCCACTTTTAAGTGCTCGTGTCACTTTTGTGGAATCTTTCCTAACTCATTGGAGTTCTGAGATTCTTTTACTGGTACTTTAGAGGCCAAAAAGCTTTTTCTATTACCCTGGCTTAGTGGTTCCTAAAATGTGGTTTTCCAAGTCGGCAGCACCGGTATCTCCTTGGAACTTGTTAGTCATGTAATAATTGTTGAATCAAAAACTGGGGCATGGGACCCATCTGTATGTTTTTTACCAGACCATAAAAAAGCTAATGCCTTAGAGATATGCTGTGGTTCCCCAAATCAGGTTGCCTGCCCTCTTTGTTCCAAATTATTTGATTCGTGGCCAACCAGTTTCCCATCATTATTATTTCACCACATCCTTCCCTGCTTTGGGTAGTTTGGCTTACTCACTTTTGCAATTCTGATGCTTCCTAGACTACTTAACTACTTTTGTAAAACACCTTTCTTTGTTAGTTTTCTCATTTGCTGAATTGTTAGAGATTATCTCATAATTTTGCATTGCCAAATGACCTACAGTGGTTTGTATTTGACATCACTTCAACAAAGGAGACAGTGGCACTTTATGTGTCTGTAGTACCCTTTATGTGCCTATACTATGCCTTAACTTGAACGGTAGTTGCTATTTATTGCCATCTTGTATGTAGACTGAATTTTGCTCTACCTGGTTTATCCCTAACTTAGTCATGACTATCCTAGAGCTATTCTAAGTAAGAAAAAAGGGGCTATTGGTAATATATATATATATGATTCCACCTATGTTTTGGAGGGCTTCCTTGTTGAATTTCCCTTTCTGTTAAAGTCTGACAGTTCTGCCATTGGAGGGTAATGGGACAATAAGGCCTGCTGGTTTCCTACTGCAAGCATTTCTCAAGTGAACATTGAAAAGAGACATTTCGAGGCTTTCAACAAAGTACACTCTCAAAGCATTTTCTTTAAAAAGAGAACTTCAGGAGAAGAAGCAGTACATTAAAGCAGACCTTTGCTACTGTAGCCAGGCTAGCAAGACTTCCCAGTGAGCAGACACCAGAAAGGGACTATGGGCTGCTTAGGCCTGGGGACACATCAAGAGCTCCTGTAATTGAAGAATGGCTGGCTAAAGAGAGAGTGGGACTGTGGGCAGCTCATGTTTAACCTACCTTTGAGCCTAACTCATAAATGGGTCATACTAGACAGCACTTCCACTGAAAACATCTGTGGTCCTTGCCTGAATGAGTCTGTCAGGACAGCTTTATTGCAACCATGGTGACAGGAGTGGCCGTGCTGGAATGGAGTGCAGTTTGTTCGCTACTTGATAAATTTGCTGTAGAGGCCACCACCTCCAAAGATTCTTTACACCAGAATGTGGTTGACTAAATGGCTCTCAGAATGATCAGAAAGGCCCCTCTTGGAGCTGTGCTGTCTGTTAAGAATGTATCCAGCCCATATATTCAGTGACCTGAAAAGGAACAGATTTTGGGGGAGGGGGACAGACAACAGTGGTATGATTGTATGGTGAAGACATATAGCACACTCCATAATTAGGCATGTTTTTATAAATTGAACTGTACCTTTAGGGTCAGTTTTTCTCTTGTAATTTCTGGGAAGGAACTCAATAATAGGGAAGTTTATACAAACTGCTTTCTGGGTTAACATGGAGCAAAAACAAATATGCAAAGGCACGTGACAGTGCTGTCTTGCTGCAGTTGGCAACAAACAGCTTGGTGGTCCCAAAAGAAATAGGAATTATAGGTGGAACAAGGCATTTCTTCATAAGGAAGTTGTCAAGTAGTGCGATGGAGAAGTCTGTGTAGGAAAAGCTAGGGATAATTATCCAGAGTCCACACTCTTCCCCTTTTGATTTTAGAGTTGTGATTTGTTAAGTGGTAATGCTGTCCTAGGTTCTGAATGTAAAGCAGTGACCCAGACCCCTAGGGATCCAATATATTCATGAAAGGTCTTTCATGCTTTAGCTTTATGGGTCTCTCATGTTCCCTTTCATTACTTTTCAGTTTTCCTTGTGCATGCTGTGCACTTCTCATACAAGCTAGAATTCTCTGTTGTCTTGTCTTTGAATATTTACACATGCTGAGCTCATTTCCAAAATGACCTTTTCCACCTTCCCATATGGTAATTTCTACTGGTCCTTTAACACTGAGTTTCAGTACCAACTTCTTTCTGTACATCGCAGATCCACTTAGTTGTACTTCATCTTTTCCTGTAGTACGGTGTTTATGATACAGCATTCAACAGCTTCATGGAAAATGTAATTACAAGATAAATTTAGAGGTGAGCACTTGGCCTGATGGTTAAGACATTGGTTAGGATGCCCAAGTTTTGAATCTGGACTGCCTGGGTTCAGTGCCTGGCTCTGGCTCCTGATTTCAGCTGCTTTCTAATGTGGACACTAGGAGACAGCAGTACTGACAGAAGTTAGTTGGGTTCCTTCCATCTATGTAGGAGACCTTGACTGAACTCCTGGCTCCAGCCTCCAAACCATTACAGGCGTTTGGAGATGAACAAATGGATGAGACCAATAATGTTTTGCTGCAAAATATTTTGTGAAATCCATGCATAGTTGTTTTTTTTCCCGTAATATGCTTATTTTCTGTGAACTTTTTGGAAACCTTTCATAGCTACAGCACTTAACACTTTTCTTCCGTACCTGAGAATAGGAACTTTGACCTGCCAGTTCTGTTTACCTTGTGTGCTGTTTAATATATATCATCCTCCTGTACACTGGCCCATCTTTAGTGAAAAGAGCATGGTCGTACTTCTCTTTCTATTAGCATCACTCTTCCTCATTTTTTCTGTAAGTACTTTTCTGAGCCATTTAATGAAAATATGAACTGTGGCCCTAACCTTATCGTTTTTTGGTCTTTTCCTATAACAGACTTTTTCAGTTGTTATAACCTCTGAAAGAGAGACTCTTCTGCACAAATGCAGCTTGAGCAAATGAAGAAGGAAAGTGTTGAGTGGGTGACTGGAAGCCCTAGAGCTATTTCTTTATTTTACTACCAAGCATTTAGTAGAGTGGTGAGGACTTGGGTATAGGTTTGAAATGTGAAGTTTTGTTTCATCTTTGTTATCATGAAAATGTGATACATTTGCTTAAGGAATGAGACATGGGGGTTGCTGAGGGAAGTTCAGTCCTGTTGCTCTGGAGCTGTTTCTCTCTTGAAAAAAAAAAAAAAAAAGATAGGTAAAAGACACTTGGCTGCCTTCTAAAATGAAACTAAGGTGGTCTCATTATGGGATCTTCTCTAAATGAAATTTTCCCCTAACCGCCTGTGAGTGTATATAGTGTCAGAGAGATCAGAAGAAAAACAGGTACAGATTTATTTTGTCTGTGAACTGAGGAGGTAGCGTCAGTAGGATTTGGTGACTGAGAGA